GGAACTTCAAAGCAAGATCTTGTGGAAGCTCTTGAGCTGGTAATTTGATTTTTTACTTGCATAAAAATCATACTTACAGAACCTTCTTCAATCTCATAGATGTGGTTAGTTATTGCTGTTATCATTCATAACTGAATATATGAATGCAACGATTCCAGGGATTCAGTTCCGTGATGGTGGATGGCTCACACCTTTCTTTCAATGAAAATGCTGCATACACAAAATTTATATCGTTACTGGCTCACTCAAAAGATATGCTGGTTGAAGCTGAGCTAGGAAGATTGTCAGGGACAGAAGATGATTTGACTGTAGAAGAATATGAAGCCCGGCTAACAGATGTTAATATGGTTGCTATCTCCTCCTTGCTTCTCAAATTTTTCTTCTGTGCTTGTTCTAATCTCATTCCTACTGTTTGCATTAATTTCAGGCACAAAAATTCATTGATGAGACTGGCATAGATGCCTTGGCAGTGTGTATTGGTAATGTGCACGGAAAGTACCCTGCAAGTGGTCCAAATCTCAGATTTGATTTGCTTAAGGTGATAGTACATTTCTGTTTGTATTATTCATGCATGTGATAAATTCTGGGAAAATTGCAGAAAACAAACTTCCAGAGAGGATGTTAAGGAATATGGGGGGTACCTAACTAGGAGTGACTAGTTAATAATGTTCAGAGAGGATGTTAAGGAATATGGAGTGACCACTTATGTAAAATTTCAGCCAGTAAATCCTTTAGTTAGTTAGTTGGACTAGTTAGGTAGTTAGAATTGATTGGTTATAAAAAGGAAAAATCAGATTAGGGGAGCACATTTTGTGAATTTCATAGATGTGCAAGTGAAAGGAGATATCCTTTGTGAAGGGGAAAGTTTCTTGTGGAGAATTCTATTCTCTAATTTCTTTATGTTCTTCAATAAAGTTCTGTTCTTTCGATTCTTTCTCTCTAGTTTCCTTCTTATTTTCTCTAGGTTTCTATCAAATTGTTTAATTTGACATCCTGCCATCTTTAGGAGCTGCATGCTTTGACCCTGAAGAAAGGAGTTTTTCTGGTTCTTCATGGTGCATCTGGATTGACTGAAGAACTTGTTAAGGTACGGTTGCTTAAATAATAGATTTGGGATTTGACTTTAATTTTTTATCAGTCAAAGTAACATTTGCCTGTTATGAGCATTGAGCTAAAGTTACAGTTGCAATGCGTCAGAGATTTTCTAGGTTATATCCTTTTATATTGAACTGCTTGTCCTTCAACTTGACATTTACTTGCGATTTGCAGTAGGGATGGCAATGGGTAAAGTACCCGATGAGCACCCGCAAAATTTACCCACAATGGGTAGGGTATTTACCCGCTATACGGGTACGGGTATGGGTGTGGGTAAAAACCCGCAAATTTTAATGGGGATGGGTGCGGGTATGGGTATCTAAGTACCCACCCCGCCCCATACCCGCATATATATATATATATGCTTAAACTTTATTCTATAATTATGAATTGAATTTTTGTATTATTATATTACTTATGTGAAGTTATATAAGATTAATATAAAAATATATTTAATAATAAAGTAAACCAAAAAATTTATTTTGGTTTATATTTTTAATAAAAAAATTTATTTACTATTTTATATCATTTAATTAGGCTAACACAATTTAATTATTACATAGTTAATATGAGATTGACTTTTTTTAAAATATTATTTATATATGACACACATAAAATATTTTTTACACAAATATTTTTATTAATAAAATCATATTGATGATTAAATCATAAAGTGAATGATAAATAATAAATATATTATAAATTTTACAATCACCTACTATTACCGTAAACTTATTATTTATTAATAATATTTAAATTTTATTTTTATATTTTAATTTAAAATAATATTTTTTTATGCAACATATGTATTACAAGCACAACTATAATCTATTGAATCTAAATAATATTATTCTTACTATTTATTCACATTCAAAGAAGTTTTTGAAAAGATATAAATATAAAAAAATTATTGTTAATTTTTATTTGTTAATTTTTTTAAGATAAAAAAGTATAATTTTTTTTAATATACACGTATATTTCTTTATTATAAAATTTTATTGTAACTATTTATCTTTTATTCAAATTTTTTTAAAATTTATATATATTATAAATATTTAATTCACTAAAATAATTTTTTAAAAATTTATATTTTTGATAAAATACTTTCGTATAGTATATGAGTTAAAAAATACTAGTATTAATATATATATATATATATATATATATATTATATTTATTATTTTAATTAAATCTATTATTTTTCTTACACTTTCAAATTCAAAAGTTAAAAAAAATATTTTATGTATCAACTTTCTATCGTTAGTATTGAACTTCTCTACTCTAACTCTATTCACATTCTCAATGTCTGTCTCACTAAAACTTAATAACTATAAAATGTTATTCATTAGAGTTAGTTTTTAATGCCGTCACAAGAGGTTACTAAGTGATCCCACACGAAGGGACAACCATTGTACAGATCTATTTCGTTGTCGTTCTGACATTACCAATCAATCAAATCTTACACAAGATAGGATTATCACTGACAAATAACTTGTGTGTTTAGTTTTGCTTATTGTTTCTAAGAATTTTAGTCTAGAAAATTATTATATTAAGATACATTTAACATTTATGATCTTTGAATATTTGTTTTTTATCTATATTTGTACCTTGTTCGACAACTACATATTGAATTTTTGTATTATTATGCTACTTATGTGAAATTATATAAACATATTTTTCTTTATAAACATTTTTTTCTCAAACAAGCGCGGGTAATGGGTACAAGACGGGTATGCGGGTACCCAGAGGGTACGGGTACGGGGATTAATGTTCATACCCACGCGGGTATGGGTCCGGGTACGGGTATTTTTTTAAAACGCGGGTATGGGGATGGGTACTGTAGTACCCTACCCATACCCTACCCATTGCCATCCCTAATTTGCAGTGAGCTCTAGTAGATTTTGCACTTTGTATTGTTAACCTCACAAGTGCTTCTTGATTCCTGCAGGAGTGCATAAATCTTGGCGTTAGAAAGTTCAATGTCAACACCGAAGTAAGGAAAGCATATATGGACTCCCTCATTACTCCCAAGAATGATCTAGTTCATGTTATGGCTTCTGCAAAGGACGCCATGAAAACTGTGGTTGCAGAAAAGATGCATCTCTTTGGTTCAGCAGGAAGGGCATGATTTCTGCATATTTACTAGCTAGGATTACTGGTGACTATCAACTACACATTTTTTGTTCTTATGTTGTCTTGTAATAAGGAATATTACTAGCTCATGAATTCATTATTTCCTGCAGTTCAATAAATGAGTTCTAAATTTGAGTGCATAGTTTTTTTCTAATGACCAGTGGTGATTATTATTGTGTAGAACCCCAATGATCTTTATTCTATCTTTATACCACACAAGACTTTTCGGTATCTTTTATCCTCATTCACACACTCAACAATCATTCTTTGACCTCGTCAAAGCGTGAGATGTCACAAGTATATAATTTGATTTTAATTAAAAAATAATTTATTTTCTTTCTTTATTTTTGTTGAATAATGTTCTGTCCAAGATCTAATTGTATCTTAAAAAATAATTAAAAAAAGATAAAAAATAAAACTTCAAGATACTCTGCCAAAAAAATTGTCATATTTTAATGTAAGAGTGATATAAAAAAAAAAGAAAAAAGGAATAGTAGATGTTTTTGCTTGGTAATTTTTTATTCAAAATTTTGGAAGAAAGGAAAAAGGGGGAAGAATAGAAGAGTTTAAGAGCATGTTTGTTTCTCTCCTGAAAAACAATTTTCTGTTTTTTAAAATAAAATATAATACAAATTTGTATTGTATTTTAACTTTAAAAATAGAAAATTATTTTTAAAAAGGAAAATAAACATACTTAAACTCTTCCTTCGTAATTTTAACTCCTCTAAAATTTAATTTTTCAAAAGAATTTTTAAACTATTTAAATTAAATTATTCTTCATTGGTATTTTTATTTGATTGCTTAAAATATATAATATTAAATTTTATTATTTTCCTCCCCTTTTCTAAACTAAACAGTACATTATACAGAAGATAAAAATGGTTCGAAATTTCATCAAAATTACTATTTCCTTTAAAAAAAACTTAGACGACAACGTATTCTTATGAACTAATACCAAACAACCTCTAAAATATAATACGATCATATATTTCCATAAGTGAAGAGAATGGAAATGATACATCGAAAACACATTAAACAGTAGTGGTTAAATACTAATGATTGAAAGAGGTACAATGGATGAAACATATTTTCATTTAGATGGGAATAAATCTATTAAAATTTAATTTTAAGATTAAAAGACAGTGTATCTCTCTTATTACAGTGTGAGTAATAAGTAAAAGAATCAAAATTTTAACATATCTAATTGGTACCAATAATCTGGGGTTGGCTTTAGCTCCTTAACAAGTAAAAGAATCAAAATTTCAATTAAGACGTTTAATTTGCATAAGAGATTTAGGGTTGGCCGGAGGTAAAGTAGCCTCTCTTCTTATTTTGACAGTGTTCATACTTCATCTTATTATTTGTATGAATGTGAATGAATATACACATCAATTAAATTATCTCTATGAAGAATGAGATAGACATCAATGCCAATGTAAATTAGACTCTGATCATTATATTATATCTAAGAGAATAATAGATGAAAGAAAATTTTGCGACTAAAAATATATATTATAAAATTGAATTTAATTAAAATATATTAATAAATATTTACCTTATCATTTAATCATAGATTGTGATATTATAAAAAATTACATTATTTAAGAAAATATTATTTTATTTTATTTTTAAGTGATGCATTTTTAATAAAATAATACAAATTTAATTTTATAAAAGTGCGATGACTAGGATAACTTCTTACGTGCCTATATATATAGAGAAGATCAAAACAGCGATAGAATGAGATAAATTGAATTTACACTTTGAAGTGAATCAGTGATTCAATCCCTCACCCTCTCTCTTTCTCTCTTCAATTTCAATGGCAGATCAGAGTCCGAAAGCAGAGACCTTTGAACTCAATAATGGCAGCATGCAAGTGCTCCTCACCAATCTCGGCTGCACCATCATCTCCTTATCGGTTCCAGGAAAAGATGGTTCGATTCGCTTCGAAATTTTCATTCATATTTGCGTTTTTATCACTGATTATGCATCACATTCACATGCTTTCTCTTTTCCTTTCAAGGTGTCTTATCCGATGTCGTTCTTGGCCTCGACAATGTTGAGTCCTATCAGGTGCCCCCTAAAAAGAAACTTTTTTTTTTTTAATTATTCGGGTGTTAATCGTAATGGGTTGTTTAGTTATGGCTTGGAATAGATTATGTTGTCAATGGGCATTGTTTCTCCCTTTGCAAAATTCTACCTTTCCAGCTTAATCAGTAGCATGGCTTTGAGATATGGGAGTGACACGTGGCTATTTTAATTTTTATTTAATTAAATTTAATGAAATAATCATTTATTTTTCATAAACTCTTGCACAATGCTGCTAAAATAAGTGATTATTTTCTCAAAATAAACTGAAGTAAGTACCCATCTGGTTTAAAGTTGAGTAGAATTGATTTTGATCGAATTGGTTTTGAGCCATTGAATGTGACTGGGATATGTGTATAAATTAATTTAAACTATACATTTTTATTGAAACGTGTGTTTTGCATAGAAAGTGCGAGAATTGATTTTCTTAGTTGCTAAACAAGCACTAAATATACAATGACAGAGGATTTTATATACGAATTATTTAAATAAGAGTGCAGAAACTATATATAAAAAGTTCATCTTGATTAATTAACTTTTCATGAATGAATGATTATATGATTAAGATTAGCTTCTGTTACCTCTTATGTTTTTACATTATTTTGCATCCTCGTGTATGTGTTTATATAATTTTCTGTTTTATTCTCATGATTGATTTATGGAATTTATGTTGCTTGGTAGCAGAAAGGTCTTGCTCCTTATTTTGGCTGCATTGTGGGTCGGGTTGCAAACAGGATAAAGGATGGCAAGTTTACACTTGATGGCGTTCAGTACTCTTTGCCTCTTAACAAACCCCCAAACAGTCTCCATGGTATCAATTCTATGCTTGCATAGTCTTCATGCTTTGCTTTGTACAGGATGTTGAAATTGCCAATTGTGGATTGTATAGTAATGCAAATCCCTTCAGGTCCATTTATGATGATTAAAAGAAAATGGTTTTGTTGGATCATGATCATGAAATGTTTATATCGAGATATCTGCTTTTGGTTAGGGTCTGGTTATAGTGGTTATGAACTATTATTTTAACATATCAATCTGTATCTTTCCATTCCATCAAAAATTTATTTTGAAAAATAAACTCAAAGCAAGTAAGGATTTGTGACAGACTTAGCGAATCCAGTATTCTCTGTTATTCTCATCTCATGAGTGACTGACCGTGTAACAATTATGATGTGTTCTAGTGTGCTCTTTTTTGCTAATAATTTGATTCTGAAATGGAATTTGAAATAGCATTAAATCTTGGGTGTTTTCTAACGAGAGCAAATCGCTGCACTCATACAATACTAAATGATTTTTGTTTGCTGTTTTTCTGATCCCCTGCCCCTTTCCTAAATTTTAGGTGGAAATGTTGGGTTTGATAAGAAGGTATGGGAAGTAGTTGAACATAAAAAAGGTGAAACTCCATCAATTACTTTTAAGTATCACAGTCATGATGGAGAGGAAGGTAGTGTCTATTCTCTTTTTCTTCCTTACTTCTATGTATTGCAGTCATTAATTATGTTCTTCCTTACCCATATCTGGTTTTTGTTTTCTATCATATAAGGTTATCCTGGGGATATCACTGTTACTGCAACTTATACGCTCACCTCAAACACAACACTGAGGCTTGACATGGAAGGAGTGCCAAAGGACAAGCCCACCATTATTAACTTAGCTCAGCATACCTACTGGAACTTAGCCGGCCACAACTCGGGGAATATACTTGACCATTCAATTCAGATATGGGCTAATCACATCACTCCTGTGGATGAGAATACTGTGCCAACCGGTGAAATCATGCCAGTTAAGGATACCCCTTTTGATTTTACATCTGAGAAGAGAATAGGCAACACCATTAGTCAGGTTGGAATGGGATATGACCACAATTATGTGCTTGATTGTGGAGAAGAGAAGATGGGTTTGAGACATGCTGCAAAAGTGAGGGATCCATCCAGTTCAAGAGTACTAAACCTATGGACAAATACCCCTGGTATGCAATTTTACACAGCAAACTATGTTGATGGTGTTATTGGAAAAGGAGGTGCTCTGTATGGAAAATATGCTGGGTTATGTCTGGAGACACAGGGATTCCCTAATGCTGTAAACCAGCCAAATTTTCCATCTGTTGTAGTTCGACCTGGCGAGAAGTATCAACATTCCATGTTGTTTGAGTTTTCAGTTGAGTGAAGTAATGTTGTTGGAGTGGCGTAGGAATGGTGTAAACATCTTGTCCTGCATGGTGTGATTTAGAACCTTGGGTTTGGTTTCTCCTAAAATGATTGCTTGTTTGCATTCAAATAAATGTTTTACCCTTTCATTGTCCCACCTTTCAAGTCCACATTGCATTCTATCACTCCTAAATGTTGATATTATATTGCAAATTGAATTATGCTTTTTAAGAGTCAGTTAAGCATCCATCATTTTTAAGTCTAGATTTGACTCTCGTTAAACGCTGGTAATGGGAGCTTGAAAATTTTGTACAAGCAGGTTCAATGTGTTCGAATTGTAATGAAAATGAGGCAAAATAATAACTCATAATTGAAATGGTATAATCACTTTATTGGTGATTATTTTTACCTTCTATTCATTTTCCTATGTATTGTTTGATTTGTTTGTAGTTTAAGTGTTCAACAATTATGAACCAGAGTGCCAAATTAATCCAAACAAAATCAAACAAATCATACATACCAAAACAGGCCTTTTTTAAATTGTACCGGTTGAAACGTCGTGTTACGAGGCAGAAAATATAATTAAATTTTTGTTGGGTCAAATGTTTATGTTCTATTTCAACGAGAAACTAAGCACACATTAAGTTACCCGTTTACAAATAGAAAAGAAAAGATGAAATATTGAGTTACATTTCATCTTGAAATATAATATTTTGCAATGTTGCTGTAAATCAATTACTCAACATTGAGTTACATTTCAAGAAACTGAAAAGCCAAATACCCAATTACTCAGCCCTCTCTCAAATGTTGCATGAGTAAAGCCATATTTATCCACATATTCAAGCAAAGTTGTATTGTGAGAAACCATACAGTCATCTTACTTTGTCCGAACCAACTCAAGAGGTAATGTTTCCATTGCCAACTGAAAGCTCAGAAAAGAAAATTGCTAATAAGAAACATGTTACAAGCTTAAATAAAAGTGATACTTCAAAGTGAAGTTTATAAATAAATGATGATAAATCTAACCATGAACCTGCACCTACCCAGAGTCTTGGTGTTTTGGGGTCAGACTTTTTATGCAATTTTGATAGCTCTGACTGAAAGCTTATAACAATGGCAACTTTGAACTCAATTGAGAAGGGACTGCATGAAAATAACAACACAATAAACATCAATTTAAGTCCTTAAGGATTTGGTGTGCGTAACCATGAGTTTTTACAAGTGCAAAGTAATTCACGAGTAGATATTTATGAAATGAGGAGTGCTTAACTCAAAAAAAGTCACACTTCATAGACTCAATGAATCACATGAAAATGTATGTAAAAAAATGTTGCATGTTTTGGATGTAGGGTTTGCGTACTAGTTTAATTAAGCACTTATTTAATAAGTTCTTATTACATAAGGTTTTATACCATAGATTCGACCATGAAATTTATTGACATAAGTTGAAAAGAGCTTGTTTTGATAAGATAAATGAAGAAGCTTATTAAAATAAGCTAAAAAGAACTTACGAGAGTCATAAGCTCTCTATAAGCTTTTACAAATGCACCCAAGTGTTACTCGTGTGAAATACATTGAAGGAGAATCATCATGAACAGGACACATACCCAGCCAAGGTTGTTGGACAAGTCAAAAGACGTGGTAGCATTACATAAATTGGCAGAGTCAAATTACGGCACACATCTCCATCTGCTATCTGCTAAACAAAAGGAGAATTAACAGCTTATTTGAAATTGCATGCTCTATACAAACCCAGCATCACTTGCCTGGGTTGTTTGAATCAAAGAGGTTTCAGTCACAATTCTCTCCCCAAGAAGAATGGACTCAACACGGAACAACTGAAGGTCAATTGACTGAATTGGAACTGCAGATGCTTCTACAGTTAGCTCGCCGTTAATGGGACAAGAAAGAGAACATTGGGTACAGACTTTTCCTGTCACCCGAAATCCACCTATTCAAATAATAGCTTTGCATGAGCCAAATGAACGTTTTCATTTATGTTAACAAAAATCTACAGGCCAGAGGTTGCACATAATACAATGCAACTATTCAAGTGCACAACTGATGAACTTTTTCCATGATGAAGTCTAAACATGTTACACAACAACGCTAATAACTTAATATTGGCACATAAGATGAGAGTTACTACTTATGATGTGAGATACTAAGGAATGAAACAGATGCACAAATTTTCTTTTGCTTTTCATTTGTTTCCTAATGAGACAGAACAAACATTTGTATTCATTGAAGAAAAATGAACGCACCAGATTTTAATTCAGGAAGTAGAGGATGCCTTTGAGTGTCTTGAGTGATGTAAAAGATGACCATCTCTGGAGGAATTGGTCTTTGTAGAAGATCAGCTGAATTTTTGAACAAACAAAAGAGGGACTAAAAGTTTAATACTTACTAACATAAAATTAAAGAATAAAGATCTGGACTGAACCAAATTATACCTTTATCACTTTCAACAATGAACTCCATTGTCGCTGATAATGATTTATGCAAGTATCCACGAGATATATCTACAAACACCAAATACTATAGAGGCTATCAATCACCAACCTTCTAAATTATGTCAAAAGTTAAAAAGAAAAAAAGACGAGAAATTGGTTTTGAAAATGCTTTAGTTCTGATCTTTTAACAATGTAAAAAGTTTATATCACCAGTGAACCACATGTCCTCATCAAACCTTGGTTACCGTTTGGTTACCAAAATGATGTGGCAGTTCCATGTTCAGTGACAGTGTGACTGTGTATGTCAAAAACATTTTCAAAGAACATTTTACCTGGATACTAATATTTGCCCCATGAAAAGTCTCATAAAATCTTTCTGAATTGCCATCCCGCTGTCTAAGATTCAATGAAAATGGTATCTGCCACAAAGATTGCAAAACTAACAGTGAATATCAACACAAGAAAGTAAGTCTTATAAAGAATTCCATCAATATAGTACCTAAGCTTTGCCACATGCACAGTGCAGGATTCAAGTATTAAAAGAAATTTATTACACTTCAGAAATCTATGCTGTTTCAAACTGAGGCAGATCCCAAATAATTTAATAGCTTGGTATCATATTTTTATCAAAACTATGATAGCATATCCAGAGTATTCCAGACCACTTAATAGCAAACACATGCATATGAAGCATATATACAGATACACCAAAAAAAAAAAAAAACTGCTTTAAATAGACACTATTTTATTCTTTTGTTATTGATATACTACCTCTGATGTTCCCGAACCAATCTTTCCAGAAGATTTAACCTCAACGGTCCTATTCCTGTTTCAAGCCAATCACACGAATCATGTACAGCTGTCCTAATGTGAGCCAAAGAATTTACAAAACATTTTTAAAGAACAATTTTCAGATTTTTTCTAAAACAACAGTAATACCCTTTGGAGCTAAAGTTAGCAATACAGCATCTTGAATGAAAGTGATGGTCAAAGGTACAATTACCACTTTCACCATGAAAACAAAATTTAAATGATATAAAGTGTACAATCATGTAGGTTTACCCACTGTTGGTAAAAAATCACACGCATTTCAAGTGTATAGACAGGGTAGGGAGAACAGATTAAATCCCATTATAAATTCAGGTTGCTAAAACAAAATGCCGAGTCATCTACAAATTAGTTATAAAGATAACTACTAATGAATAATGATTACTCATCTATAGAGACCAAATGTTGGGTCAATTGAATATGGTAGTAAACATTTTCAATATTTAGATATGCCTTGGCCAAAATTTTAAATAAGAGAAAATCAATAACAATAGTGAACAGTGCAACACCATCAGAACAAATAGGATCTCCAACCCTGCAATACTGAATTAATTTGATCTCTTTTGGGCAACATTCTATGATCTTTAATTGACTAAAAATCTAAGATACTCTACTCATCGGTGACACACAGAATTGAAAAAAATAAATATAAAAAATGGATTATTAGTAATTAAATTTCCACATGAACAAATAACAATTTATTTGTTAACCTTCAGTTGCATTTAAACTTACAAAATTGGGATTGGCCTAATAACACCATATAATGATTCAACCACCCCAGCTGATCCTCCACGAACCTGCAATAAACAATTTTCAAAATTTAAACCCAAAACAACAAACGTGATTAAAACCCAATCAATCAGAACAACCCTTTTGGCTCAATTGGCATTCTGAGCAAAAAATTAAAATCTTTTGATGATTTAGTGAAAAAAGAAACAAAAGGGTACCTGCAAGTTGACGGATCCTTTAACATTAAGGCGAATTCCATAGTGAGATATTGAAGACTGTGTTTTGACAATGATTTTGCCTTCCACAGCTTCCTGAAAATTCAAATGTTCAACAATGTTTAGAGAGAGAGAGAGAGAGAGAGAGAGAGATGAAAGGTAAGTAGCGTAAGTTTTTACCGAAGGGCAATAGACATGATTAGAACGAGCGAGTTTGAGCTCAACGGACATGGCTGCCAAACACTCACTGCTGAGTTAGTTGCGAGTTTCTTCAATTTGGTGAGAAGATGTCATGTCACCATTCATCATTTCATTTCATAAATGTTTTTAAACTCACTTTAATAATTTTTATATAACATTAAAATATTTTTTATTTATTCTGATCAATTTTATATTTAAATTTATGTCGTAAACTCCAATATAAAAAATTATTGTTTAAGTGTTTAATTAAATTATTTATTTAAATTTATACTAAATTATGAATGAATTCTAGTTTCAATTTTAATTTTTTAATAACAATAAAAGGAAAGATTCTTCTTGTGTTTTTTTTTTTAATCTTAAGACATGTTGTAACTGCAAGGTAAAAGCATCTACATATAATTATAAAATATAATTTTATATATTTTTTTTATAGTTTTTACTTTTACATGAATTTAATGATAATAATATAGATTATATAATTTTACAAAGTTTTATTTTAATGTCTAAATCTTATCAAAATTTCAAAACATGTATGTAATGCACATAACATTTATCAATACTAATTAAATGCTCTGCTCTCTTGAAATTATTTTATTTTTATAAGGGTTATTGTGCTATATGGTCTTAAGATTGTAAATTATCTATATCCATACCTGAATCTAAATAATATACAAAATAGAAGAAACCCAAAGTCTTTGGGTTGCGTTACTTCACAGAGTTCATTTGTTCAAAAATTCACTTATTTTTTTAACTTCAATTTTTCTGCTCTTTTTTTTATAATATTTAAACAGCAATATTCCTATGTTTCATGTAATGAATTTTAAAATCGATTCCATTCTCATATTTTCATGTTAGCAAAGACCTAAATAAAGTTATGGAGATTAAGATTCTTGAAAATGATAGGGTGAACAGTTTTAAAATCTCAACCTTTCGTTTTTATAAAATGCATCATTGGCTTATAACCCCATACGTGATTTCCAACTGATCAAACAAACGACCATATTTTTTCTCAAAAGTAATCTACTGTGCATATAAAAATGTGAATGTCTTTCGATATCTAAGGTAAATTTGCAGAGTCATGTTGGTTGGATTTTTTGAAGAGATATTAAAATGCAGCACTGCTGCATTTGGAAGAACTTACAGTGCAGTTTGGTAAAATTTTAGTAAAGTGTTTATAGAAAAAATAAAATCAGTTAATGAATAACTTATTCTTTAAATTTTAGAAAATTTAAATGAAAGATTTTTTTAAAAAAAAATATAATATTTCTAACTTGTGAAAGAATTTTTATTCATTTTTTATATAAATTTTTAAACAAGAATTTTCTATAATTTTATTTAAATTAAGCTTATGTCAATAAATTTTATAATCTAATTTATGGTATAAACTTTGTATAATAAAAGTTTACTTAATAAATACTTACTTAAGGTGTTATTCTAAACCTTCATACTCTTTTGTTTTTTCTTTGGAACACTTCAAGTGTAACTTTTCATAAGCTAAAACCAAATAGTTAAACCTTCCAGTTTCTACCTTTCAAGGCGCAATTCACAAGTAGGGAGACTGTTATATAGACACAAAACGTCACTAGGGTGACCCAATTTGTAAAGACAACCAAAAACAGGATTTTGAAATCAATTTTGAGCATAGAAGCCATCAAGCCATAACAAGTAAACACCACATTCAAATAGAAGAGGATGCATAAAATTTTCATTTCTTTCATCCTGTGCTCTCTTGCACAAATATTTTGTCAGAAGATATAAATAACAGCAACATAATTATCCATACTATCATTTGGAAAATTGTTACACTATTAACTACAGGCATAACTAGACATATCATGAGAATGAAGCATCATTTTTTCTTGGCAATGAACAAGCTCCATATTTGCTCCCCATCAGCACCTCTCCTCTGCTTAGCCTTCCATCTGTCTATAACTTCATTGTAGTCTTCCTGAAAGCAATGATTTCAGCAATGAACTCTTTGAAATTTAGCTAAAAATATGTAGCACATAGAATGTTCAAAACATGCAAGTATCCCACCTCTGAGAAATTATCAATGAAATCACCCTTCTTGCTCTCTAGTGCATTTAATTCTTGTTGTAGTGTTTTCATGAGCTAAAACACAAAATAGTTTGTTAGTTCCACTAGGACTATAAAATGTAATTATCAATAAAGTAAAGTAGATCATAGTTTTTGAGCTACCAAATTAGTTTGATCCTCAGCAATGACATCATCAAATCCAGCATTATTGAGCATCTGTACATGATTTAGAACCCAACATGTCATGTAAAAGAAACATCAACAGCAATAATTTCATGTGAGAAAGATAAGCTGTTGGAAATAGGAGAGATATTTTAGGAAGACTATGAAAAATGAAAATGAAATTACTACTTTCATTCATAACATCCTTTAAATACAAGAAATTCATAACAAAAAATTACTAATAACTCAACCTGCCAACTTGAAAATTCAATGACAAATAAAACTACTCATTAATATATATAATTACCTTTTAACACCCAAAATTCCTATACTTCAAACTCAACGTTCATAACATTAGGATTTTGGAATTTGTCAAAAGACCAAATCAAAATATATGAACTGTATTATTAACAAAGAAGACAATACTGCAGAATCAACTCTTCAATAACCAGAGCAAAGCTCCTACAAAGGTTCACACCCTTGCCCACTACTGACGGAAAAAAAGCATAAATGACCTGTTCTCTATCTTCCTCCTACTATACGAAACATTACACGTTAATCTGCTCTCCATAATTAAATACTCTCTCTAATTCCCATTCTGCTCCTTCTTCTATCTCCTACTATATACTTATCAAATCCAAAGTCCATGACTGAGTTGGACTTGACTTGTCCACTTAGGTTCATGGGACCTAACAGAATTCCACAATTAATAGTAAAAGCTACCATACCTGACAATATGCTTTCATGTCATCAATATAATATCCTCCTCTTTGAATGTACTCAGCATATTCTAATGATAGACTTCCAGCACTTTTGCAATAATCAGTAATTAGAAGTGTACCTCCATGCTTCAACCACTTGAAAAATGATTTGAACAGTGATGGTTTATCCTGGATAAATCCACAAAAAAGATTGTAGGAAATACAAGTTAGAAATTTTAAATGAACTTAAGACATAAAAAGATTTAACCAATGAAAAATTAATAAAACCAAAAATGCTTCCTTACTTTGATGTGTAACAATGTGTCACGAGTGTAGATTACATCAAATGTGTTCTCAGGGTATGTTTTTTTAGTGCAATCAACACATTCAAATTCCACAGAGCATTTGAGTCCAATAGCACGTTCAATAGCAAGAGAAATCATATTTATGGAGAGGTCAATGCCAACAACCTCAACATCAAAATTTTCAGCCATGTAAAAGTCACCACCCCCAGTTCCACAACCAACATCTAGTACTTTCTCACCAGGTTTTAATCCCAACTTTGCCACAAATTCCTTTGTTGTTTCTGCCCAAGCAATGAGCATCTGTGCATTAGAAACATCTGGAATGTACTATGACTGATTCCAAAAATAAATTAAATGCGCCTTCAAGATTTTATTTTTTTACCACAATAGACCAGAAATTCTCCAAGGAAAAGAAATTCCTAGATATGATATAGTATATCAATCAGTCTATGAATGAGATATATAATCACAGTGAGAACAAAAGTCAAAATTCAGAATAAACTATTGGTTGGCTTAGTCTAGTTCACGTACTTCAACTTACATATGATTTTGTTTTCTCTAATTTTAATTTGTCAATAGTTCAAGTTAGGTTTCTCACCTCCAAAATTTCATTCATTGATTTATATAATTTATAAAGAAAAAAGTACATAAAAACTAAATAAAAATAAAAGGCTTTATTATATTTTATACATTTATTTAGTATTTTTATTTAAATATTTTTATACAAATATTCTTTATTAATTTATACAAATAAAAAATATGCCACTTCAATTATATTTTTGTTATTATTGAATGAAATTTTGGAGAAAAAAATACTTAATTTAAACAATAAAAAAACTAAACATGAACGACCAAAATTAAAAAAATTTAAATTACACAGATTAAAATATAAAGACTTTCTATTTTAATATGCCAAAAAAAGGAAGTTTCATAAATCTTCTAGTCAAAGGCATTAATATATGTATATTTCAGCTTCACTCAAACTTCACAATGATTTGGTGTTACTTCTAGAATGCACACATCAATCCAATACATGGCTATAAGGGGATATCATTGAGGATGATCATTTTTCCGTCTCAATTTAAATGAGGGAAATTCTCTATTGCATAAAATGGTATAAGAGAGAAAGGAAAGTGACAAATATACCAAGTCCTCCAGTGCTCACAAAACCTTGGCCAAAAACATCCTCATATAGTAAAATATCCTTATGATTATACTCAACACTATCTAAGAACCTCTGGAACCCCCTATCATCTTGTGATCTTACTTTTTGCCACATCCAGCAAATCTGCATGAGTTATATTTTATCATATATTGTCAGTTAATTGAATTAGCTGAAATAAAAGATAATAATTAAAAGAAATAGAAACTTTGTTTTATTACCTGGTTCTGATTCTTCTTATTTCGTACATAAGCTCCAATGCATTTACATCCAACAAGGGAAAGTTCAAAGTAATTTCCAGTATCATCACTCATATGGCACTCTTTAAATACCTACATGAAAATGGGAAGGGTAATCGAAACCAAGCTTTTTTAGAATATGATTAAAGAATATTAGGGGTATTAATAACATTTTTGTAAAATTAATGACCGAAATCCGTGACTATAGGCACATCTTCAGTCTTTACCATCACAAATTCACAACCATTTCCAGTTGAATAAGTTCAACTATGCACCAAAGGTCCTTTAATATAATCTTGAAAGTTCCATCTCCATAAAATACAAAACAAAACATTCCATATAAAGTTGATGTGAACCTCATTTTAATCAAGCAATTGTTGGAAGGGACAAAGAGGGGGAATAATAATTACACTCAGAACAAACCTTAGTGTAAAATCTGGGTTCCCTGTAGTGAGTTGGGTTGTATTTTCTCTTTGAATCTCCAGATTGGTGGAAACAAGATTCTCTGAAGAATATATATCCACCAACTTTTAACCATTTGATCATCCTTGCAGCTAAATTCTCAACCTGGAATGAATCAAGGGGGAAAACTAAAAGCCTTAACAAAAAAAAAAAAAGATCTACTAGGAAGCAATATTAGTCACTATTTGTCACAAATAGTGATGAAACCGAATGTTTAACAATATTATACACATTCTAGGGGAAAAATGGAAAAGACATTCATGTTTTATTTCTTTTCAAATCTTTGATATTCTTCAATAGACAATATGTAGAAACATCAGTCATTGATTGCCAAACTTAAAGGACAGAACCAGAAGACCCAAAAGAAGCCCTTAACCCACAAGGCACAATCCAAGTTTAAGGAATTCTATATCACAAATACAAATTTAATTTCAAAATTATACACCTTGGTATCACTTAGAACCATAACCGTTTATGTCATACTTCATGTTATCTTCAAGTCAACATATCTAAACTGAAAGCAAAACTATGAAAATTCTATGCTTTAGTGTTTTCTTTGAAACAATAAAAAAGAATCACCTCTCTGTCTGAAAGATACATAAGTAACCAATTTGAGAATAGTAGATCAACTGATCCTTCAGAAATATGCAAGTTTGGAGATGTGACATCAGCACACAAGAACTTGACATTCTTGTGGTGCCCATTTGTGCTTTCATTCTGCATAAACATTATGTGGGATGTGAAATTCAGGAAAATTACTTCACAATAGGTTGAACCAATTTTTTATCTTTTCAAGGGTCTAGCTAATCAATTGCTTGAATTTTTTTTAAAAATTATTAAAAATCACATGAAGAATGTATTGAAAAATCATAGTGAGAGTGCATTAATAACATTTTTAATAGAAACTTTTAATTTTTAATTCCTAACATATGCCTTTTTAAATTTGATAAAGAGCAACCATCAATGTTCTTAATGTTGTAGTAAGAGATTTCAATTACCTTCTTTATTGCACTCTCAATGAAGTCTACAGCAAGTAATTGTCCAGCTTTCTGAGCCAATTCACCTGTAAATCTTCCAATACCTGCTCCAAGTTCTACTACTGATTTTCCTTCATATGCTGGCAACAGTGACAGAACCTATGCAATTGAAAACAGATGAGCAAAAACACTCTCATCACACTGACAAAAAATAAAGAAAATAATGGAATACTGATAAAGGTGTATATAGAAATTAAAAATTTGCAAGCATCTCATGTCGCTTGTTGAATCAGAAGGAAATAAAAAATCTCAAATATCACTTTTGTAAACATCTTTCACTTAAACCAAGAAAGAGACTGAAAAGATTAACAAACTTAAAGTAATTCTTTTATGGCTTATATTGAAAGGAGATGATAACATAAAATATAATTTAGTTGTACATTTATTCTCATAAGCAAATAAATTCTGTTTGACATTAAATTCAAGCTTATAGTATTGAATATTTAATTTAAAATCTATATATTATTTTTTAATTTAAAATTTTAGTAACATAAATAGCTTTGATTCAAATTTTGTCTAATAGAAAGTGTTACCACCCTCGATCTAAACAACCCAATGACTAATTATTAAGCACATAACAAGAGAGCAGGGAAGAAACACATTTATATGTAATATTATATTTGAATTAATTATATATGAACTTAACTATATATTTAAAATATTTAAAAATAAAATGTAGAATAAACCACACATATATGTGTAATTTAAATACACTGAAACACTGTGTTTTAATTATGAATATTATACCAATTAAAATTATTAATTTTTATAATAACTAATACAAAAATTATATCAACACATATTCTAATTATATCAACACATATTCCCTGTGGTTATTGTAACTTTTTATAGGAATTTTAAAATCAAAGTACTTCTATTTTGAGTTCATCTGTATCTCCGCCGGAATTAGAGTTCTTCATAATTTAAAAATTTCCCCTCTCGAATAAATTGATTTCTAATGGAAAAATATGCACACCAATTCGTCTAAACTTAATTATACGTCTTAAACAAATAGGCTATTAATCTCTAACTGTGAACTGGATATTAAGTAACTAATGAAATTTAATTAGCCATAAAAAGAAAACATTTAAGGAAAAAGTACTTTATTTGGATTCTTTTCAATCATTCACTCGTGTCATGACAATGTCAGACTATTAAAAAAAAAGTAATAATCATATTTCTTTTGGGTCAAGATAATAATCATGTTAAAATCCAAGCAAATTATAAAAAATAAAAAATGTTAATAACATATTTTATCAATTAACTTTTTAATATACTCTTTTGTTATTAATTAAAATTTTTAAAAAATTAATACATAAATTATATAACACAATATCTTAAAATATATTAGGATTCCTGGATGTTTAACAAGTAATAACATATTTTTTTAACATTTTTTATTAAAAGAATATTACTATGTTACTAACAATATTCTCCTAAAAAACAATAAAAGAAATGTTAACAAACACGTATATTTTAATATATTTATGACTTAAATATAGTTTAAGTTTTTAAAAATATGATAATTTTATATTTTTTAATTTTTAAAACTATAAAATCATGCACTTTGAATACATAACAAAAGAGCAAAACACAATTGATTTTATTAAATATAAGAATTAAAAATGAATAAAAATATTTTAAAAACTAAACCAAGAGATTACTTTTTAAAGAATTTAAAATATGTTTAAGCATACATTTATTTCACTCAAAACCTCTCAATCTGATCTAGATTTGACAAGGATCTCATTTGAGTATCTCTTGAATGAATGGTTCTCTCCACCAAGCCATGGAGCTTTCATGTATAAATCAAGCACCCTTCCAAACGATTATTGCTATACATTCATTCATTCATACTCATTCATAGGTAGTATGGTACCTATCATGCATGAAATCAAATCAATGTCTAAGTCTATAAAGTACTTGTGATCAATTTTAACAAGTGTGACTAGGCCTTATGAAATAAGTTGGATAATCTGATAAGCATAATAAGGGAATAATATTCTTCATGGCCAACCAAATTTTAAATAAATTTATTAAACATTTGACTTGCTTTTTATTTAACAAATTCACATAAAATTCATTTAATGATGAAAAATTTTGAAAAGAAAAGTTCATGCTAACTAGTCTTAAGATAACTGTTAATATAAAAAATTAATGTTAAAATGCATGCATTAAAAAAATATGAAGTTGGGGTGCATTTTTAAACACTGGTTAACAAATTTTTGAAAATGATAAATATAGAAAAGGAAACGCACTTCGGGTCTTTCTTCTTTGTCGAGATCAGAGGCGTTGGAATCGAGCATCATTGATTCAACAGACAAATCTGTGGAGTGTTCAATCCAATAGGTTCTCTGAACACGACGTTCATCTTCAACACCTGCATCTCTTTCACATTCTCACGTTAATTAATTTCTAGAGAAAGTATATATACTATATATTACTAATTCATATTCGTGACCAAAAACATAAACAAATTAACCTCAGCAATTCTTGTAGTGTGAGGAACGTATATAGTAGAACACATGCATGATTATATACTACGATATATATATATATATACATGTTAATTAATTCACCTTGCACCATTGCCAAGAAAGCCATGGAAGAATGAAGAAAGTAAAACGATGAAGGCTTCTCAATGACAATGGCAATGGGTTATGAGCACTATGTCATTTGCTTTCTACTCCTTCCTCCATTTATAGGAAACAAACATCTTTTTCTTTTGTTTGTCAGTTTTTCTATGGGTTGAGCCTGGGTCCCATTTTTTCAGTGAAAAATGATTGTTTCACATCCATATAATAATAAAAATTAGAAAAATAAAATAAAAATGATTTAAAAGATTTTTTTTAACATTAAATGTCATATTTGGTGATATTACTATATCTATTTTACTTCCAAAACTAGTGTCAGTTATAATTGTTTTAGTTAATTATTTATAATAATATCAATTAATTAATACAAACTATAAAAGAATTAAGTAATTAATATAATTATCATTATCATATATTTAATAAAATTATCTAGCAATTAAGTGAATGCTTTCTTATTTGGATATATACAACTAATTCAACTATCTAGCTTTGAAATAAGATTTAAAAAACCAAAAATTATAGTGTATACTTATCCGGGTATAATTATCTTAATTAACTAATTTTAGTCATTCAATCAATTAATATTGTGATGAAATAATTAAACAGTAAATATTTGAATATTGGATACACATAACATTAACTCATTTATAAAATTTAATTTGACATAGAACGGATTGTATTACTAAAATAATAACATTCCTTCAAATTTTGAAATTAAAAATTATTTTTTCTAGTAAAATTACTTCTTTTAAATCATTGATTAATTGACCATTTATAATTTCATTTGATTTGACATGTAACTTATTTATTAATAAATTAAAATTAATTTTTTTCTCAATTTTAAAAAAATATATCTTATCGAATAAAATAATATATTGCATTGAATACATCCATTTTTAGTTCTTATTTTTTTAATAAAGTTTATTAGATAAATATTATAAAAATGTGGAAGTACGTCGTACAATTACCTAATACACACAGAGATCTATCAATTTTTGTTATATATTTTTTTTAAAAGGTCACATGTATATTTTGAATTAAAATTTATTTTATTTTTTCATTACATTTCAATATATTTTTTACTTTTGATAACTAAAAATTATATATATATATATATATATATATATATATATATATATATAATCGCATATACGATCAAATTAACAACTAAAACTCATTTAAATTTTTTAAATAATTCAATACCAATTAAAATAATATCATACAGATAATTTATCAGATAATCAAAACCATTATCACATAGATATGTTTTTAAATCATCGATAAAATTATTTTTCAAAATCACTAAGTAAATTACGTAAATGATTTAAGGACTCAATTCTCACTGAAATTTATATAAAATCTTCAAATAAGTAATATCCATTTTTTAATACTCCTTATATGCTTTATAATCAAATTCTCCATTAATTATACTCTAAATTTTAACATTTTTACTTCTAGAATTGGGTTTGCATTGAAGTCAACTATCCTGTATATTGGTTTAATTTGTCAAAAGGATAAGTGTTTGTAATAACTAAATGCCAAAGTAATATTGTTTATTATTTTACTTATCCACTATCATTAATATAATTCAATACTAGTATATGTATTTGTAAATTACAATTTTACTAATCTTTTAGTTTTAAAGTCCGGGCATTATTCATTCTAGTTCAACTGTTATGATTTAAAATTATATTTAAACATTATTTTTATTATAAATTTCATTTTTTACTATTCAAAACAAATGTATGTACTAAAAAAAATCTAACAGAGAGAAAAAATTTCTATCCTACGTAAAAAATATAATAATAATTTATATAATAATAATTTATTACAAATTATAAAATTTAATATATATTATTACTATTATTAAATATTATAATTTTTTATAAAAACTTATTGTTTATTAATTTTTTATTATATTCTCTACTGTACATATTTAAAAAATATATATTTACAACAAATGCTAAGCATTTGGAGCCTAAAGTGACTTTTAGATATGATGGCCTCAGGAAGGAAAAAGATCACATACTAAATTTTGCGGTTTAGATTGTGTTTTCCAATACTTTTCACTGAAACGTGAGTTTATTTTTATTAGCTAAAAATTTTGTAAAATAAAAATAGTTCTATTTAATAAAGTAGTTGAAATAGTTAGAGCATGTTTCTTTGCATTTTTATTTTAAAAAGAGAAAATTATTTCTAAAAATACAAGCAAACATGCTTTTAGTTGTTTTTTTAGTATTATTTCAGCAAATATTTTTTAAAATATTAATTTTTAACCAAATTTTAATTTTTTATCTAGGAAGTAATGACATTATTATTTGTAATTTTATATTTATTAATTAATTCAAAAATTAATTTTACAAAAAATTAATTTAATCAATTAACTTTTCATATTTCAGCTAATTTTTTAATTTTTAGCTAATTAATCTAATAACTATACTAAAGACACCCACAATATTTTTTTTTTCCTATAATTTTACAATGGTATGTTGATGAATACAAATGTAAATTTACAAATAAAACCCCCTTTTAATAAATTTACAATAAAACTTCGTTTGACTTTCAATGCAACTAATTTTGGTATTAAGATTACAACTAATTTTTGTGAGAAGTAAATGAATAAAATAAATGATTTCAGCATCACACATCATAAGATGCCAGTTATTTTTTTAAAACAATAATAACCATAAACATTGTAACTTTTGTTCACTAATATTTTTTTAATTTCTTTTCAATAAGGAATAAAGTAAGAATAAGTCTATAGCCCTACTAATGATTGAGATTCGCTTCAAATCAAATAAAAGGTTGAAATCTATTAGAGTCTGAATTGTTATCTCAAGACTGTGCTTGAGATTTGAGGAACACAATGCACGATTAGAAGCCTTCGAGTTTGAGTTTCATAAAAAAAAAAAGTTATAAATAAATTCTTGTTTTTATATTTTCGTGTTATTTTGATTTTAATTTAATTTTGTATTTTACTTTTTTTAAAATTCAACTCTTTTGATTTATAGTGATAATGTGACTAAAAAAAGATACACAAAAAATTTAATCAATCATGTCATTACTAAAGAATAAAAACATTGAATTCAAAAAAAAAAAAAGAAATTAGGCTAAAACTAAATAAAATTTTTTGGAAACTAAAATCAAAATCTTATAAAAAATACAAGAATTAAAAACATACCATTAATAAATTTATTCTATTTTAAATGAGTTTAGCCAACTCAATTAAAATTAATTGAAATATAACAAATACACTTTTGAAATATAATAAACACACTTTCTGATGATAAGAAGGTCTAAGACCAAAAGAGAAAAAAAGAAGAGGTTCACATGCATGGCTTTCACATGGAGCCAACAATAATGGAATGTAAGGTACAAATAATTGAGAGGAGACACAAAATAATGAATCCATGCTTGGAAAAAGAAAGGGACAGCATGCAAGAAAGAACAAGTCAACAATAGAAGTCCTTGTCTTATGGTATCATTGTCATATTTCAACTTGAACCAATCATTGCACTTCACCAAGAATGATCACACATTTCACCAATTGCCCTTAACCCATGGTACCACCAACCCTTCAGGTTTCTAGTTATATATACTAGCAACTGTGGTTTTGTTGATAGCATTAGAAATTTGAACTATTCCTACCAAGATTCTATACCACACAACATAAAAAAAATATGCAGAAAGTTAACACATGTTAGAGAAATAACCACATACTAAAAATTAGAAAGACACAAACGATATTAAGAAGTTTCATTTGGGTCGAATAATTATCTCTATGAAACCCACCTATCTGAAATGTATTTAAAGTTTATGACAATATATGCTCAAGAAGAAATAACTTTTATGATTGCTCATCTTATTGGTTAGTTTTGTGATTCGAAAGTAGTGCTCTTGTTGTTATTATTGAAGGAATTGACCAAAAATAACAATGATGACAAAATAGAAAGAAATTCACAATGCTGCTGGCACTATGCATGGGGGACAATGGTTCCTTGGCTCTACTATTGACAATGAAAATTTGTCCTATACAACAAAGTTAATAACGTGAATATATATATATATATATATATATATATATATATATATATATATATATATATATATATATATATATATATATATATATATAGTTATATTCTTAACACCGTTTCAAAATTTCAACAATTATATCTCTTAACCTCATTTTATAGAATATAAGAATGATTGTTAAATTATTTTATATTATTTTTATTATAATATATATTAAATTTTATTTTATTTAGATATGTATAAACTATAAATATGTTATTTAATAATTAATATTTATTTATATTTCTTAAAAATATAATACTCGTTAAAATAATATAATGCAATGCTTATGGATAAAATTTTATAAATTATATATTTAATAAGAAATTTTAATAAGAACGATTAAATTAATCAATCTTATATTTTATAAAAAATTATTAAAACGTGTAAGTATTTTATATCTTATATTTCCGGATTGTTTGGAAGCTGAAGAGAAACAAACAACAAATATGATAAGAGGAATCTGAGAGCTCGCAATAAGCAGATGGAAGCTTCTGAAAAAATGAACAGAATTGAATGATTAATAAAAATAATAACAATAAGCAAAAGATTTTACTGTTTATGAATGCTTTTCAGCCGTAATTTTAGGTCGAAATAATAATTTACAGTTTATAAAATTAATTTTGAGATAATTGAATACTTTAACTTTTAATACAAACAAAAGTAATTTTATTTTATCATCTAAATGAAATCAATTATTTTAAACTTAATTTAAATATTGTTTTAAAATTAAATTATTTCAAAATTAATTATACTAGATATAATTAAAGAAAAAAATAATTAACTATGCAATGATTAACTCACTTCATTTAATCATTTAACTAATAACTAATTATTATCTAATTATAACAAAGTTGGTGATGTGGCAAAGTTTCCAAACTATCAACCAAATCAATTTTACACTCTAAGAATTAATAGGAAAATGTTGCGGCATTGGGGTAAAGAATCAATATTTAATTTTTTTTTTATTGAAAAACGTAAAAATACATCTACACCAATGGTTTTTAATAAAAATATATTATTCATTGATTCTTTAATTAATGTCTTTAAAACATTAGTTAGAAAAACTAATTAATATAGTTTAAATTTTTACATTTAGTTACATAATAATATGAAAATTTGCTAAACTATTCTTAATAAGCATGTAATCTTAGACCGATAAAGGAGATTCAACTACATTGATTCATTCATAAAACTAATTTGATTAAGAAGATATTATTTAAAATTTAATTACAAAATATTAATAATGTAAAAAAATTTACATTGTCATCCAATAATAAATTATTATATATCATTAAAAATCATACTTTGTATTATTTATTGTAAAAAATATTTTTCAAGTATTTATAATTAATTAATAGTATAAAAGTTTTATATTAATATATTCATATTAAACTCTAATATTTAACTGTTTGTTGTCATGGAAACATTTGACGTTTATGATTCGCCGCATTCATTTTGCAAGATCAAATGTATTTACAAAAATTAAATCCTCATAGAGCCAAATCCATGATTAGCTTTTCGAATGAATGAAAGGTTATCTATGTTCAAATGTTGATGTCGTTTATCATTAAAGTAGAAAAGGAAGTGAGATTCTGAATCATATTTCATGATAAGATTGTGAGTTTACGTTCTATTCTTCCAAATATTACTTCAATTCTTATATATTTGTTAAAAACTATTTTTCTTTTCCAGCAAAAAAAAAACTATTTTTCTTTTATCTATTTATATACAAAAAGTTCACTCAATATTCATTATTAATTTTTCACTAACATCCTTTTATCTATATTAGAATTTTTAATATGATAAATAAAACATTTTATTATTTGAATAGTTCAAAAAAATTTAAAATAAAATAAAATAAGATAAATAAATAAAAATTACAAAATAATAATTCTTTTAAAATTTATTATCTTTTAAAAAAATAAAAATGAATATTACATCATTGAATTAAACATTAATCTCAATTTTTAAAACTAAATTTAAACCATTAATACTAGTATATTTTTACTAATGAATATTTGTAACACTTTTATAATTATAATATAATAAATATTCTTTTGAGTATTTTTATTTTTATATCTAAATGTTTAAACTGTCCTTTAGATTGAGAAAAACAAATCCTTCGTATTTATGGTAAAAATATGTTTTCACAAATCATTTATTAGGTGCAAATGTCCTATTTACTGCCTCTTTGAATTAAAATTTAATAAAATTAATTTAAAACTATTGAATGTACTTAAAACGTATGTCTAAATTAACTTGAATTAAACATTTTTATTAAAATATGTAGTTTTATTAAGTATAAAATTTAATTTTATAACTTTAGCTTTACAAAGTTGAGCCCGAATCCATAACTACCCAAGCTACTAAAAGATGTCAGTTAATACGTTTTTAAAATCTCACGCAGATGTGGGTGTTTCCAAACAATGGAATGACGCAGAAACTCACTGGAACAAAATTTGAATGCTGAATGTGCAGTCAACACAAAGCTAGACATGCCCAGCAACTGAGAGAAGTTCAAAGCAGAAAAGGCTTCTAAAGTTATCCAAAATAATAACATTACAAACGCGATTTCAGCAGTTAAAATTACTCTCCATAGTTTACTCAACATCTTTACTTTTTGATTTCTTTTTCTTTTTCTTAGTCTCAGTAGCAGCCTCTAATACTTCTCTACTATCGACCCTTTTATCCTTTTTCTTTTTCTTTTTAACTGTTCCATCTTGCTCATTTTCAACCCCATTAGCACCATCATCAATGGCTTGATCATGAATCTCCACCTCATGGTCCAATTTCCTCTTTTCTTTCTTTTTCTTCTTCTTTTCAGACTTATGATCCTCCAATGCATCACCGTTTGTAGTCTCTGCGGGCTTATCTACAGCCATGTTATCATTGTCTGTAGTGGCAGACTTACGCTTCTTCTTGGCTTTCTTGCCTGAAACTTCAACAGGCACTTCTTCTGTTTCCATCACTGTATCTACAATTACCATCAATCAGTTGAATTCCACTATTACACATGCAAATATAAAATACAGACACAAGCTTCTTAAGTGAAAAATAAAAAAATTAACTCCACCATATAGATACTTAACCGATTTTCTGCCATCGTCTCCTTAATGGATGTTACTCAAACTCTCCTCATCTATAATTATTTTTTATCTTATATTTTCTCATATAACCACACATCCATCTTAACATTCTACTATAAATTCAGCCAAAAATAAAATTCAACATGGCAATAAACTCCATCGTATAATAAATAATAATCATTACCAAATGCATATCATTAAAGGGAATGAACGAGGGCACTGGGATGGAACTGAGGGATAGTTCTCCTTCCATCCTTTCCTTACCTTTGTTTTCAACACTTTCAATAGCAGACTTCATGACATCTATGTTCTTACGAGGGGCAACTCCCTTGTCATAGAAGTCAAGTCGCTCCTCAACTTGCTCACGTAGTTTCTCCCCAAAAGCAGTAGTGCCCCTTTCTGCATTATAGTACAACAAAATTACCTAACATGCAACAAGGTGTTGTAATGCATAAGATTGCTAAAATTAAACAAAACAAACCAGAAAAGCAGTCAATCCGTGATGCAATTGAACATTTATTAGCAAGATAGCGAGCTATTCGGCCCTTATTTCTGGCAGATGCTCGACCAATAAAAGAAGAGTGGAATATCAGACCATATTTGGGAGTGTTTCCTCTTGTTTTTAATGCCCTGAATAGAATAGGAAATTATATTATTATAAATTAGAAACTTAGAAGTTACAGCACACAAGAAGAGTAGTTGCAGACCAAAATTAGCTATTTTCTTGACAAAACAACATGGAGGAAACTTGACAGGAAAGTTTGGAAGCAAATGATAGGGGATTTGTGTAATGGACAACTGCTACCTTATACATCGTAAGTGGGAACAATAGTTAAAAGCCTTTACTTATGGTAAAACATCTTCAAGTGTGTAGTTCTTAAAGGAAGGAACTACCTAAATAATATATAGCCTGTACTTGCAGTTTGAACGATTTACTGTTTTTGTGTTTCTGGTCAAGAAAAAATCCTAAAACAGTAATTGCCTAGTCTGGTACATAAATGGAAATGGTGAACTTCTCAAGCATATAAAAGACATGATTAAGCTACACAGGACAATGGATATGGCTGACGTAGACAATGATTTGGAAGAGTGCAGGAAAACATTGACCCTGGCTACTAGTTCTCTGTTACTACCTTAATGAAAGGAAGTTATATTATGGTGACATAATAAATTAACATCTCTGGTCGCGATATCATATATAGGTTTTATAATAAATTCCTACCATGCCCTAGTGAAGGCCTTCCATGGAGGGAACCTAACCTACCAACCATAATTGAAAATAACAAACTCTTGCAGTTATGCGTATGAAACCTGGTTACTTTCTGTTAACATTGACCAAATAAGCGGTACAACTTCAAAAGAGAAGGTAGAGTTAAGAACCTGAACAGAGCCTTCTCTGCACCAAGAATTTGAAGAGTTGAAGAGGGGCATTTAGCTAAATTTGTGAGGCTACCTGCATGAGAAATTAATCGCGCTCCAACAACTTCACCAATTAAGGAGGCCAAATTTGGTGCTATGTCGTTCATTTTAGCAACCAGGTAATCATACAGCTTCCGCCTGTACTCAGACAGGTCCATCACCCTCTGTGCAAATTGTTTGACATTAATCAAGTCCACTGGGGACAAATCCTGTCCTGAAGAAAGAGAAGAGAAATAAGATTTAGATAAAGGTCAAGACAAGTCAAAGTAACACAAATACGTGAATTCTACCCATGGAGGCCTTGGCAGCTTCCACAATCTCCTTTGCTTTATCTTCATCACCAACTATGTCAGTTAAGGTTGAAATCTTGTCTTCAGACACCTTTGATTTATCCTCAATAAATTTTGCAACTTTGGCATACAGATAATTATCATTTACAATCTTCACCAGTTCCGGAAAATGCCAAGAATACCATTCTCTGCACACGATCAATGAGAATCAAACTCTTTAAGTCCAATAATTCTCTTAAAAAGAGTAAACTATTTCCAATACAAAAATCCTAGATTTAAAAGTAGACTATTCACTGCGGAACACAAACTACCTGACTCTCATGGAGAAGGAATTGATATCCTTATCAAGTGTATCAAGAAGGAAAATCGCTTGAATGACCATATTGTCAACTCGATTAACATTGAACTTCACCTTCGCTCTGCTGTAACTATGCCCCAGACCAAGCTGAGCCTTTTCCAAATCCCCAGACTACAGAATTCAATTAAAGCAAAAATTAATTTAAATAAATTAAGGTTCAAATACGCACTCCTTCCCTATACTAGACACTCATTTATAGATTACTCCCTATACCCAAAACACTTGCATTTTAGTTCCTGCATGAGGATTTTATTTCACTTTAGCCCCGGTTGTTTCAACACCATTAATTAAAACACGAACTTGTATTTTTTTACATAGAATAATTCATAAATGCATGTCATTTATAAGAACCAAATACGCATTTTAACCATAAAATCAGAAACATTTAAGAAACACAATACGAGGTAGCAGTAAATGTTAACCAACCTTGAGATCACTGACAAACCTATCAAAATGGAGGCGCACACCGCGAAGCAACTCACTCACAAACTCGTTACTTTGGCAAGGAATTTTAGTGATTTCAAAAATCTGAGAACCAATCTTAGGATCTGATACACCTAAACTGAACTTCGATTTCTTACCTTCCTTCACTTTCGGTAAGTTAGTTTCCAAAACCGTTCTCAATTCATCAGTCAACAAGCCTGAACAACACCGAATCAATTAAAAACCATTGGATAACCGGTTTAACCGAAGTTTCAACTACGAATTGAACTTCGAATTTACCTTCGGAAACGGCGTTGCACTGTTTGAGGGCGTCGAGTGCGGAGGTGAAAGGGTTGAAGGAGCGAAGCTTGACGACTTTGCCGAACCTGTTCAAATCCCAAACCGAGTTCCGAACCGCCTCCGTGTTCTGACCGATTTCGTCGAGGCCGTGAGCTTCGAAGAGAGCGTAACCCGAAGCTGACTCGTAGAGAAGGAACAGCGCCATTGCAATGCAATGGGAAAGAAACAACCCTAAAACCGAAGCAGGAGGATCGGAGAAAAATGAATGAACGGAATCACACTCGGTAATAGAAGACACGAAATGGAAGTGCGCGCGCGCCCAATAATACCCTAAACCCTTTGCTGATATCATATTGGGTTTATGGGCTTCACGGGCCCATTCAAAAACCATGTATGCTGGTAATCAGTGTTCTAAATAAATTTCAGTTATATTTAACTTGTATGACTCAGTTTGGTTCGATTTTTTTTTTATAAAATCAGAAACTAGTGATTTAATTAAAAATTCAGTTATCGATAAAAAATAATTAAAAATTGAGTTGATTTAGCTTATTTATGTATCTATAAAATTTAGAATATTTTGATTTTTAGCCACACTATGGACATTTGGATGAATAGAAACATTCATTGCATGACTGGTTTGCTAAAGGATTTATAGTCAATATTGGCTTATACTTTTCAAATTATTAGAAACTTTGACTTTCTTCTCAACAAAACTTCCTCCATGGCCAATGGCTGTTTTTTTGCTTAGGAGTTTCCTATGATGATATAGTTGCCTTTAATGTTGATGGGCGCTGACATAGTAATTCAGGACAAGTAGGGTTTTAATTTGAATGATTGTTGCATGATTTTGCTATGCCTAGATTTGTAGTTTCTATAGCCATATAAGATTATCTGATATAACATTTATGGTGAACTTTTTGTTATTCATTACAAAAAAAAATTCTCATTTTCTCACAGGCAATAACTATTTTTTGTCATTACTTTTAACAGTTGTTGATGAAATGAGATGTATTTTTTTTTAGAAAATATTATATTATAATTAATCTATACCAATGTTAATCTTAGCCTCTGTATTTGAGTTTAAGTAATTAATAATAATAAGTTTTAATTGATAAAAATATATTTATTATATTTCATATCTTCAATGTAAAAATTGGAGTGTTTAATAAAAATACATGTTAATTTTAAATGTTTAAACTCATATTTAAGAGTTAAGTTTAACAAAACTCTTAATATATTTTTAAAATATTTATAATTTTTAATATATTAATATTTTTTTAGAATTATCAAATAAGTTAGTGAAAGAAAAAAAAACCAAATAGTGATTAGTCAGTGAGTTAAGTAAGATTATATTAAAGAACTTATTAAGGGGTCTAGAATAATTTAGAGATTAAATTAATTTTTTTAATAATTCATGATATGTGTTATTTTATCTTTAATATAAAGAGTTTTTTTATTCAATATTTAAAGAATTAGTTTCCTTTCGACCTTTTTCCAACTCAATCACCATTTGGGCCTAGCGTACTGGTAGTGTTTACAAAAGCCTATGTTAGTCCAAGAAAAAAATCCCAAGTAATAGAAAAGAGAGAGGTCAAAGCTTAGTTGAAGATATGAACTTCAAAACAAAATGTTAAATAAAATTGAAATTAATTCAGTGATATTTTATTTAAGATTTACTTGTTTTAATAAATGAGTCCAATCGAATTGTATATATAAGAAAATAATATAAAATAAATTAAAATGTTCATTAAATAAAAAAAACATATTGTGTAAATATGTATATTGTAGGTTTTGATAATGCCAAAAAGATAACAAGAAGGAAACTCTATGGCATGAAAATTTTTGATGAAGAATAGGCAAAAGGCAAAGATAAATGGTTAGAATATTTAGATTTTAAAAAAGTTTATCAAAAGTTTTTCTCTCTAGTAAATTTATTTGGCCATTTTAAAATTAATCAAGTTTTACTCAAAATAAATTTTAAGATAATTATTTTGATATGAAAAAAACATAGATGATGATTTAAAACTATCTAAAAAGTGGTAAAAATTCAATCCTTCAAGTTTTGGGTTTATTGTAATCGATTACCAGATATAGTAATTGATTACCATGTTGTTCTTATACCCAGAGTTCAAAATCTCATCAATTACTAGAAAGTAACTGCTGTCATTTTTCAAAATTTTAAACTGTGTAATCAATTACAAGTTCATGCAATCGATTACCAAAGACCAGAATACGCAAAAAGGTGCGCTATGAAAAGATGTATCCTTTTGAATCAATCTCTAACAATCCATACGAATTGTTCAATATAAATAACATTTACTAACACTTTCAAAAGGTTAAAAAAATACTGCATAGATCAATTGAACAAATCATTCTCATTCATCAAACATCTTGCTTAAATCTTGACAAGATTTTCTTATTAATTGAGAAAACTTTGTAAGATTTCAAGTTGTATTATTTGCTCTATTCAGAGAGTAATTTCTTCTATTATATTATCAAAGTAGTGAACGTAAGCCCCAAATTTTTGTAATATTAATTATTGTATTTATATAAATATAAATATATATTTATATAAATATAAATATATATTTATATAAATATAAATATATATTTATATAAATATAAATATATATATATATATATATATATATATATGTGGGTATTTTTGGATATGTGTTGTAGATGTGTATATATATATATGTGTGTATGCATGACTGGATAGGGCTGAAATGGGCTAAGTGCCTAAATGTAGGGCATGATACTGGGCTGTTCTCGCTGCAGCGAGAGGATTTTTGCTGTAGTGAGAGGGCCTTAGGAGGAAAGACCAGAATTGTCGCCTTCTCGCTGTAGCAAGACACGTCTCGCTGTAACGACAGTTTGCGCTGCATTTCTGGGTGTAGTCTCGCTGTAGCGAGATTTTGCAGAAACCAGAGCGCATTTTTTTTTTGTTTTTTCGCTGTAGTGAGAGGGCATGTCGCCACTGCAGCAAGAATAACTCGCTGTAGTGAGAGTGTCGCGACCAGAAAAGGATTTAAAGGGGTTAGGGTTCGGGGAGAGTTATTTCTCCCTGTCCCTTAGATCCTTTCATTCCCCAAAGCCCTATTCCACCGATTAATTGCCTCCAAAGCCGTTCGGGAGCTTGATTGAAGGTTAAATCTATGTGGGGAACGCTTGGAGGTGAGTTTTTAATGGTTAGGGTTTCGTTTCTCATGCTCAATTCTCTATTTCTTGGAATTCTCATGGAGTTCTTTCATGTGTTTTAGGCCGCAATTTGTGTAGGGAGCATGTCCGTGGTCAAATCTGAGTGTGGGTCTTCAATCTAAGGTAAGGGAGAACTTTATCCTACTCTTTTGTGCATGAATTGTTATTAGTTTGCTTAATATTGTGTTGTGGCTGAGTTAGTGGGTAGAAAATTACTGAGAAATGTAATGTGGGCCATGTGCTGTGATTTGTGAACATTATGTGTGTTGACCCGAACTTGATGGATGTGGATTGTATGTAAATGTGGTGTAATATAGATGAATATTGGCTATGTGCCGTGTAATGTGAAATGAATGTGGGCCTAGTGCCATGTATTTGAATGCAATGTGGGCTGTGTGCCGTGTGTAAGCATGATTATTGCATGCATGAATGGAATATGTGTGAATGAGCGTGTTAGTGCCGTTGTAATGTGCTGTAAATGGTTCAGCGATACACTGGGGTGTGGGAGATGAGGACAGTAGAAATACCTTAGAAAAGAGTGGTGGTGACGCCGACTGTGGAACGGGTGCACTACGGGTCACACACTCTCTTCTTGATTAGACCTCTGACTATTATCTTTGTTGAGTCATGACTGCCCACGTGGTATCCATGAGGTGGGAGTAACCGGCGACCATTCATGGTGTAAATCTGTTATCACAGTGCCACAGTGAGTGTGGTTAGCATGCATATGCATGCGTTTATGAATTGTACTTATGGATGTGAAATGCTGCTTGTGATTGAATTTGTTTAATGTGTTGAAAATGTTTTGGAGGTGAGACTCTACGTTGATTATGTGTGTCAGGCTAGAGATTTATTATTGAGTAATCTATAATATTTTATACTTGTTCAATGTTAATTGATGGATTATTTGGTATTGGAATAGATTTAGATGGAGTTTGAAATTATTTTTTTTAAAAAAAAAAAAGTGAACAGTACCGTATGAACAGTGTCGGATGAACAGTAAAACTGCCTATGAACAGTGCAAACCGTGTACAAAACCGTGTATGAACAGTGCAAACCGCGTATGAACAGTGAAAACCGCGTATGTACAGTGACTGCTGACGTCATCAGTGACATCATCATGGCGTCATGACTGACGTCACATACGCGTACAGTGCGTGTACAGTACGCGTGTACAGTATTTTCCGGTATGAATAGTGCTCTGAACAGTGTTTCCGGCGATGAACAGTAATTCCGGTGGTGAACAGTAAATTTTGAAAATTTTCTATAAAAAGGGGGCTTCACACGAAATTTTCATTTCTTCACCCCTATCCAAGGTTCTCAAAGGTTCTAAGGCCAAAAACTACCATTTCTCTCATACTAAACCTTCCTAAACTTAGATTTCTCGCCAGATCTGAGATCCTACGTCTATTCTGAAGGATTTGAAGTAAGTTTATTTAAGTTTGAAGCTAGATTTACCGTTCGTTTCTCTTCTTCTTCTCTTTCTCATAGAAGTTCATGGTATTCTTAGGAGAAACTCCGTTCTAAAGCCAAATCTTCGGTGAATCTTGCTATAAAACAAGTAATATTCGGTAGATCTAGTGTGAATCGTTGTTCTGAGGTAAGGGGAGTTTACTTTAACCTATGAACTACGTTTTGAACGGTTTAATATGCTATTTTAAGATGTTTTGATATGATTTTGTTAGATCTATTGAATAAAAGCTATTTTCTAAGCTGTAACTGCTGTTAATTGATTTAAAATGCTGAGATTTTGGCTGATCTATCTTAAACTTGCCTTAGCTAAGCTGTTAAAATAATTTTGGCGGTGTGCATCATGCTGAGATATATGTTTTGCATCATTATAGAGCCGAGTTACATGTTTAGGTGGGTAGACGTGTAACGGTAAGTTAATGCTGAGCTGCTGTGCTGTGCTGTCTGGATCCAGATACCGGAATGGGTCGCTCCCGGACCGGCTCGGTTCCTTCTGGATTACTTAGGCTGTGAAACCAGTTGGAAACCGTTTTCATGCTGTGCATTAGATGGGCTGGAAATGCATGGGGCTATTGCTGTGAGAAATATTTTACTTTATATATATGATTTTATTTTATTTTTGTAAGCTCACCCTTGCGTT